CAGGAATATGGTAAACATGTTTGAAGCCAAGTGCTTTCTCCAGCTAACTCTCTTTCACTACTGGAAATGAAGTAACTGATGATTGCCAGTGATGTCATCAGAGTGAGAAGTATTTAGTGTTTACTATTAAACTCTTTTTCATCTCTTTCCACTTGTTTTGTGATTTTTGAATGTACACATATGTCCCAGGTACTGCTAAACCTTTTGTATTAATGAAACTAAAAATACATAGATAGCAGAGGCTCAGGACACTGTGAATGCAGTGTTCAGTCACATAGCCAAAGTGTTGAAAGCTGTAGCTGACCTCATAGATCTAGGCAGTGACCCTGCCAGTTTAGGATTTGGGGTCCGGAGGCAGCACATTTTCACTGTGTTGTCTAGGCTGCCCCGAATGATTTGTTATGGGATTCACTGACACTGCATTTGGGTGGTGTCTTGAAAACTTAGTTTGAGGCTTTTATCTCCGTCCTCATTACTTTTGCAATTTAGAGTTGGTGTCCTTGCCCTGTGCCTTCTTCAGTAGTCATCGTTTACTGCCTAGCTATGTTGACTACAGCTGGGTGAATGTGGAGTGAGTGGATGCAAGAAGGTAGAACTAAAAATGTTTCAGAAGATAATTCTTGGACATGCAGCAGATATTCTGAAGAATGCTCTTAAGTACAGTGTTAAATGGATGCTTGTTGATTTGTCTGGAAAAGTAGAAATTTGTTTTCAGTACTAGTGGTGTGTTACTTGTCACGTACCTGACCTTTGCTTTAGGATAAAAGGTGGATCAAACTGGGGGAAGAAAAAAAAAAAAAGGGAAAGAAAGGAGGCCATTCCCTTATCAGCAGTCTTAAAAAATTTGTTTTGGTTCTACTAAAATAAATGACTTTGGAGTTTGTTTCCAAAGGGCTGAGGAAGGAGACATTGTTAATCTTTCACTGCCAGGAGCTGGTGTCGGGTTTGATTAATACATGAAGTCATGTGTCCAATAAGACAGAGCTCTTCGGTCTCCCAGTGGATACATTAGCAGACATTACTTCATTCCTCGCATCATAAGTAGCTTTAGATAGCTTGAAGCAGTTTCTAGAAATTAACTATTCTGTATACTAAAGGTAAAAAGAAAGAACAATCTGCTTACCATGTTGCTTTCTGTTTGGCAGAACATTGGTGGTATTTGAGTGAGATGGGTATATTGTTGAGTGACATTGTGACAGTTTCCCTTAGCAATTGTATCTCTTCATTTTGAAAGCTAATACATATTTGCATTGTATAAATGACACTTATTCCTGCATGAAAATTAGTCAAATGATTGCCGTGTTATGAATTGAGTTATAAACATCATATAAATGCAAAATTGTGGATAATACATCTGTATTTGTTGCTGCTTATACTTCCACTTTTCATAGAGGAAGTGATCAAATACCTTTTCTCTTATAAATGCCTCATATAAGTGAACTCTGTTGTGTTTAGAAACATCAGTCTCTGAGGTGCCCAACTGATCATTCATTTGCCATTTGAAAAAAGTGGTCAGAGATTTAATAAGAAGAGCTGTAACCATGAGTCATAAGGGAGCAAGCCATGGATGTCTTACACATGTACTGTCATATTTTACATGCTTATTTTTCATATTTTCTCTCCAATGACATACTCCAAAATTACCACAATGACTGGTTGGTTTTTTTTTGTTGCTGTTAGTGGCGCATCTCTGCGGCTGGAAATCCTCTGCATGCCTCATCTTACTATTATTCATTCTTTGTCTGTAGGACTTTCCCCGCACTGCTCGCAGTGGTGGTGTCAGAGAAGCTTTAGTAAGTGTGCACAGCTTTGTCTCTCCTTGTCTCCTGTAAACTGCCTGCATACTTCGAGGGAGCCCCTGGGACGGAGAGCAAACAGCTCCTGGGCAGGGTGGGAATATGCACCTCTCCATCCTTGCTGGCTGCCAGGATGCCTGCTCTGCCTTGTCCTCCTCTATTCTGGTCAGAGAGAATGACACTGGTAACACAGCTGAGGGCTGGCTCTTTATCCTCTTCTTCAAGACAATTGCTGTTTTCTTTCATGGGATATTTATTTAACTGACATTTTCTGGTCTGTTCTTACACAGCCAGCCTGGGGCACTAAGTCTTGTTCTTGTGTCATGCCAAAATGAAAAGAGGAGGAAAGGCAAACGACATAACTCCAGTAAAAGCTGCCCTTAGCAAATTGATTGCTGGATGCTTTTGATATTTATGTTACTGTGGTTGTACCAAGGATGCCCTTCTCCAAGGACCTGAAACTGATTTAAAGTGAGGTTGTGCAGGAGGCTGGAGGGAGCAGACAGGCACAGCTCAGCCCTGTCCCAGCATGGTGATGGGGCAGACAGTGGGGCAGCTGAGGGATGCTTGGGGGCGGCGGCAGGAAGGCAAGGAGGGGTCTGGCAAGGAAAAGCATTAGCGTTGCTCCCTGTACAGGTCCCAAGAGGGGCACAGTGTGGAGCGAGCAGCACCTTCTCATGGGGAAGTGATGGCTGTCATGGCTGTGGGGCAGCCTTCCACACCTGGGCCTGCTTTTGAGCTAAAATAACACCCCAGGTAATGGTACTTGGCTCCCCCCTCTCCCCCAAGACATGCTGAGCACTCGGTATGTGCTGAGCAGCGATCGCGTTGACAAAAATCACACATTTTCTTCCCTAGCAGAGGCAGAGCAGGACTTTCTTTCCTAGAGGCAGATGACAGTGATTTGATCACTTCTGTGCCCTCACGAACATCAAACGTCTACAGAAGCTGCTTTTCCAAAACAGTATTTACTCCACTGTATTCTACTTTCTGCACGTTTTTACAGGCTCTGTTAAACTTGAAAATAAAAACCAGAAATGATCTCTCTCCTTGCACTAACCATTGTGCCATTCATTTGTATCACCTATTGTGTTTAATCCTAAGGAATTACCCAGAGAGATGGTTGAGGTCTGATGTTTCTGTTTTATTATGCCCTTGAAAATTTAAGCAGTTCCGGATTTGCTAGATTTTCACTAGATTCTTACTTTCTAAGCTTTAAGTGTAACGACCTGCCTTCTCTCCCTCCCAGCATACTGGAGCAGGGTGCTGGCGGGGAGGTTGTCGTCCATGTCCCATCTCATCCGCCTCCCAGTGGGCAAAATGTGGCTGGATGGAACAGGATGGGTCGGGCTGGGGTCCCAGCTGCTCGCTGTCCCCATGAACTTCCCTGCTCCTCCACGGCCTTCGTCAGCCCAGCCGCTCTGCAGAGCCCGGAGCGGGGGCATTTTTGTGCACCCCCTGGGGCACTTCCCTGCTACGAGGACTGCTGGCCCAGCAATGTCTGTCGTTTCTTCTTCCTCCCTCTCAGATCCACTTGCGAGTAATTTTTGTATGTTTGCTACCACGCTTTGCTCTTCTTTCACTGTTGTGCACCTCCGCATCGCATCCTGATTTGCTATATCCATTTACAAATATTAGATACCATTCATTTGTTCTCTTTATTTTAACCCTTAAACCCAGTTTTATCCACGTCTGGGTCTGCATTGTTTTAACTGACCATGGGTGAATCGTTATGGGGTCTTCAGCACTCGGCCTGTGCCCCATCTCTCATCACCCTGTGCCTGTACTCCTCTACACCACATCCTTTTCTCCACTTCTCAAGGCCACTGATACCGTATCAGGCATGTGTTTCTCCATGCCGCATCGTTACGTTACAGCCATAAATATCTCACTCTGCATGGAACGGCAGCTTGTTACTGCTAGCTATGAAAAGCTATGGTTGTAACATGCAAGGATAAAGAAGTAAAACAAATTAGCAATAGACAGATGGTCATTTAGAGAAACTGCTGTCACAGGTAAACCAAGTAACACAAAGCTGCGGGCAGGTCAGGAAAAGATCAGCTGGAGCAGGTGTGACAAACCTCAGCCCTGCACCCTCAGCACAGAACTTACGGCCTGTTACTGGCAGCGGCACTGCCGTGCTGCAGGATGACAGGTTACATTCCCATCCCAATGCCCTGCATGTGGTCCTTCTGTTCTCCCAGCCACAGACACACGGGCAAACAGAGCAATGAGTTAAGCCCAAGTCCGGGTAGGGCCAGCAGCTTCCCAGAGGCAGCCCGCTCAAGGAGTCAGGGCTCCAGCGCAGCTGGGTCTCAGTCCTGCATCCACGGCCTTCCATGGAAATTTTGAGAAAAGAACTGAGCTGTAGCAGATCAAACAGTCTAGGATGTGTATTGCTTGTTAAGAGAAGATAAAAGACTTGCCACTTGTATTTATGAATATTGGTCTAAGTGTAGTTTTATGGTATTGCTTCCAATCTTTGAGCCTAATGGAGTGTCCCAGTGATCTTCACTGTCCTCGCTCAGGTAGTCTGAAATATCTACTAGTTTCACATTACTCTCTTAACAGGATTTCAGTCTGTTCCATCTGTTTCAATTTCATCATTTCAATCTGTTAATCTACAATCACAGATAGTTTGTTAACTGTTTTATTAGCAGTTATTAGCAGTTTATTAAATTAATAATTTATTAAATTATTATTTATCTGTACTGTTCTTGTTTGAAACTTCTTTTTAATAGGAATGAGTAGCGAGTAATGATTTTCCTAGTCCTAAAATTACCAAGATATTTGTATTTTTATAATTTAATTTTCAGTTAAATGCAACAGGAAAGACTATATTTCTCTTTGTTTTATTGAGAGCAGACTTTGTTTTCATTCACAATAGGTTGCTCAGA